AAAGCTAATCACACGTCGCTTGACACCCATTGCATGTAAATACAAGCCGATCAACATCGGGAAGTTGTTGCTTTTCCGTGGTGCAAAAGCGCAAGCCAGAATTGAACAGACCATCACAATGCTGCCCTGGTGGATCTTGGGTGTATCGCGATGGTTTCCTGGAGGTGTCATGATGCTAACGAGCAGTCCACAGAGCTCTGGAGCTTTCCTCTGCATCTGCGTAGCCAAGCTAGAGATGTCCATATCTTTAGGGTCCACATTGGACTGGAACTCGCCGAGTATATCTCCGTTAATCAGCCCTCGAATCTCGGTCTGTATCCGAGACACGAGATCGGATGCACCAGTGGCATATATGTCTTTTGAGACACTACCTAGCCGCTCAATAATTTCAGGTTGCCCATATATAGCGTCAGACAATTTCTGTGCTCGATACGATGTCGAATATCCATTTTTTTTGACTGGTTGTGCATGCACCATGTGGTAAAGAAGATCCTTGATTGTCCACCGGTGCTTATCATTAAGCTCAGCCAGTACCATATCGACACGTTCGCGTGGCTGCAATCCTGAGATATAACGAGATCGCTGAGTAGACGCAGGTGGTTCTTGTAATGGTGAACTGGAAGAAGGCCACTCGAGGGAGGATTGTCGAGCACGCTTTCGCGATCTAGAGATCATATTGGGCAAATCCGGTGATGCCATTCTTTCTAACAATGTCAGAAATACTCTCAGAGAGCTTGAGAAAACACACCTTGACCAAATGGTGGGGTTGCTGGCGAGAACCGGAAACTTGTATGTACGGAAGGGGTTCCCGGCTCAGACCACGGGCTGATGAAGCAACCCAATCGGGTTAGCGTGGCAGAATCGGCAGAATTCTGTCTCATCATTGGCTGTGGTCTGAGGGAACTGAGGTAAGTCCGGACGCCACGATGGAGTACAGTATTGTTCACCTTAGACCCAGACTCAGTTCAAGCATAGCCTAAAATATCAAAAATCTCTCGTGGCATAGCTTGTTCTTTTCCCCAAACTTTTCTCTCGACCGAAAAGCTTTGGGCTCGAGTACACCCTTTTATCATGTTGCCTAGATCGGTGAAGTAAATCACAATAGACCTTTAAACTTTTCCCGAGTCGTACATCCTTGATACTCAGCTGGCAGCGGTGGAACCTCGGCAGAAACTCAAAAACCACTGTCTCAGAATCACGGTTCAACTATCGCAGATTTAGGCTCACTGTGGATACGAGCTTGATAATACAATTCACTTGTGAAACAAGTCGATCCAAAAATTCAGACTCAGATCCGAAACCAGTGGCGGAATTTAAAGGAAATTCTGAAACGTCTTGGGCACTTGTGTATGTTTCAACTTTTTCAAAAACTCAGTGGGAAGCTAAGCGGGGCGCAGCACAGCGCCAAACCCAACAGGCTCCTTGAACAGGATGTTGATAAATCGTCACTATAGGAGTTGAATGCGAGTGTTGAATAGATGCCGGAGATGCCTGCTAGCTTAAAGGTCGAGGGCAGCTGTTAATATACAGGTAGTTGATTTTAATGCACTGTTCCCCGGTCTGTATGTGCTTCAATTGCAGCATTAAATAGTAACTTATCCGGTCCCACATCCATACTCTCACTGGAGGCATCGGTGACTGTACGAAGGTCTGGAATAGTAAATAATGGGTGGCAAAATGCTGCAACAGTAAACACCTCGGTCACTGCAGGCTGAAATCGGAGCTCAGATCGAGATAGAGTGATCTAGTACTGTAAACTACAGTTTCAACTGGCATTAAATAGGAGAAAACCATGGGTTTACGCCCCAGAACGAGATTGTCGACAATTTCGACCGAGCGTTTACCTAGTTTGGATCACTGGCTCCCCTATATAGATGGCCAGTTTGGCCCCAAAGTTTGACCAGTTTGTCCCATTTATCAGGGCAATCTACACTACTGTCTCTCCCTGACTCCTTTTGTATCTCCCTGCCTTCTCCGCCTCAAAGGTGAGCCTCTCATTTCATCATGACGGCTAAGTCAGAGGAAGCCATCTGCAGCGTCGCGGCTCTCGCTACCCAACTGGGCAATCAGATCTCCGTGCACATGCTCAACTATATCAGCAGCACCAAAGACCTACCCGACGGTTTTCGCGAGCTTTCCCATACGTTCCTCGATACCTGTCGTACACTGTGGGCCATTGAAGCCGGAGTGACCGAGTTAGCCGCCACCAATCGCGCCCTGCCCGAGGTGATAATTGAAGAGGTGGAAAAGAAATTTGTTTCCACTTACCGCGACTTTCAACAACTTGACAAGGTCATTTTGAAACTTGTTCATTATGAACATCGCGGGACACTGGGAAAGCTGCAGCGAGGATGGCATCGACCCGGCCATGAACTCAGCCGCATTCACGAGTCACTGAAGAAGGCCACCGAAACCCTTCGGATCAGCGGCATGGCCTTCCATTGGTCCCTCGGAGACGCACACCCAGAGGAGTCGGTAGGTATTGGGTATGCAGGCTTAGCTGCTGCGCTCGACCGCGTATCTAAAGGCCGCTCCGTGATGGGCATAAACAAGGCCAATACTTTTGAATCTGCGCGGTCCATACCATCGATCCAAAGTCAGTTGCCTGATTCAATGCGGTCGACACCATCCGTGCCTCCGAAGGAATCATTCCCCGCCGCCCGACCCAACCAAGGCCTTCGTCAACAAGATCCTGAAATTGACACGGATGATATGTCCTCCGTCCTATCTCTGAACGGGTTTATGAACCATCCTGGAGGCGAGACTGAAAAAGTCCCCTACTTCGAGCACCGAGCACTGCCATGCCGACCGGCCAAGGCAAACTTAACAGCTTCTGCTGAAGAAATCAACCTTCGGAATGACAGCTATTCGGAGCCCGATTCCGCCAGCGCCAGGCTAACGCAGACTCTGCTCGCCCATGGCGTCAATCTGGAAGATGAGACGCGCAATGGCACAACGTTACTGATCGAAGCAATTCGCAAGCGAGCACCGCAGCAAGCCATCGAAACCTTGCTCAATTCCGGCTGTGACCCCAACCGCAAAGACGACCACGGTAAGACAGCGCTATGCGAAGCCGTACAAAGCGACCAACCAGCCATCGTGACCACTCTATTAAATCATGACGCGAATCCAAACATGCCAGGACCTGAACACGTCCTCTGGTCCGCCGTCCACCGCCCAGGCTGCCTGCGCATCCTGCTCGCGCGCGGCGCTGACGTTCGAAAGACTCCTGGCCTGATTGAGCAGGCGACAAGTGTGAACAGCATCGATACCGTGCGCGTTTTGCTGCAGGCTGGTATGGACCCAAACTCCAAGAAGGACGGAATATACACTCCGCTATGCTCGGCCATCCGCGATGACCGGCCAGACATCCTCACCTTACTGCTCAGTCACGGCGCTGACCCTAACCTGATGGCGTCTGAATACCCAGCCTGGAAGTGTATCACCCACAACCGCCTTCATTTCCTCCCGGACTTAGTGGCAGCCGGTGCGGACCTCCACCAACCACCGGGTATCGTCGAGTGCGCCGTACAGAATGACAACACAGAGGCTGTACACTGGCTCGTGGGCCCAGGCGGCGCCAATGCAAATGATCGCAGCGCTCTGGGATACACAGCTGTAACAACGGCCATCCGGGAGAAACGCCCAGAGATGCTAGGCTGGTTACTAGCGCATGGTGCCGATCCCAACCTACGCGGCCAAGACTGGCCCGTGTATATGGCGACTCAGTCGCCGAGCATGCTACGGCTCCTGCTACCCAGCATAACAGACCTATCCGCGCACAAGGGCGTCATGGAGAAAGCAGTACAAGCCAATCAACTAGAAAACGTCAAACTACTCCTCGCCGCCGGCGCCAATGTAGAGTGGAAAAACGGCGGCGTGTTCTCACCGCTGACGACAGCGCTGCGCGAGCGCTACTGGGTCATTGTGCGTTATCTTTTGGACGAGGCTGGTGCCGACCCCAATGCTCCTGGTGAACATCTGCCTCTCGTCAAGGCGATAAGACGATGCGACGATGGTGACTTTTCCATGATTGAGCTACTCCTGGAAAGGGGGCTGACCCGAATAAATGCTATCGCGACTGGAACGCTATCATGCAGGCCATTGAAGACCGCGATCTCCGGTTGCTGCAGCTCTTGATCGAGAAGGGCGGTCGGGCTGATCTTGCTCAGAAAGACGAGATGGGCAAGACAGTCTTGGATATGGCCAGTTCGTCTGGTTGGCTGGAAGGGACTGAGGTTCTGTTAAATAATGCTCATCAGTGATGATATTTGTCGAGTGATATCCCTCAATCATATAATTTCAACGAGCTTTTCCTAACGAAGGAACAATTTATTCGCACCCACGTTGACCGTAGTAAGAATAGTTTTAGTGGTGACCTCACGCAGTCAAGAGGAGCAAGAAGAGTGTAGTTTGGCCATAACGGGTCACCTGTCGCTGCAGTCGTAGACCGTAGCGCCAGATACGGCCCAAACGACCCGGTCAAACTAGGATGGTGGAGGGGACGGTGGCGCAGCAGAGACAGCGGGTCCGGCGAGCCTGTCTGGAACTGGTGATTGAGCTTGTACAAAACTGACGCATTCGCCGTAAAATACACCCTGAAAGCCTCTGAGATCTTGTCAGGAAAATGGTGATCAGCATCGTATTGACCCAAACGGTACCTCTGGGATTCTAGAGGATTCGATACCAGGTATTCTCGAGGCTATTTTAACCCCCTCGATCCCAGTAGATAGGAGACAGGAATCAACACTCTTTTGATCTCATCATTTTTGGGTAGTTCCCCTTTTTGATTCCGTTGCGCCAATCGCCTAGTACATCCATTGTATTTCCCTAGCTATACAGGATATTCCTGTTAGTTATGAGCCCGGTTGCTCGTTGGTAATCGGGATAGCACGCATCATCAGACTCATTCACGTCTTCATCTGCCTCTGTTATCCTGCCAGCGATTTTTCCTATCCGCTCAGCCACCGACCTACTTTTATCCCCAGGATATCTCCATCATGTCTGCGGAATCCAAAGCAGTAGCGGAGACCCTCTGGGATACTAGTCTTCGTTCGGATGCTCAGTGGAGGACCTGGATTGCTAAGGTCGAAGCTGCAGCAACGAAGGGGAATGTATGGCATTACATGAATCCGAATCTATCTGAGGATGAGGTCCGTAAGGCCCCAGTAGATTCGCGCGACTCCTATCCACATCCTCGTGAAATCAATGAGGATGCCACTGATGTCTCGCAATTATCAGACGCGGAATACAAGCGATACCAGCGGTTGACCTCGGAATTCGATAAGGAAACTAGCTGGAATGAATCGATTCGCACGAAGATTAACAAGGTAGATGCCTTGATTGATGCCAATGTTGCTCCCGAACATCGTCATATTCTCGAGGGCAAGGTCACTCCACATGAAAAATTGGTCCGCTTGAAGCAGCAGTTTGAGCCCAAGGGCGATACTAGCCGCCAAAGCGTTCGAAACGCATAGAGAGACCTGGTCAGAAGACCAATTGGCAGAATCTCAATTGATAAATGGCTTGCAACATGGTCAAATCTCTATGAAGAGGGTAAAGCAATGAATATCCCGGACATTGCATACCATGACGATAAGGGAAACCCTCAGGATCGAGATGCCATTCGAGATTTCCTCCAAGCCGTTGAATCATTCGATGAGGTATTTGTATCCCTTTGGAGGAAAGATATTATGAATAAGGATTTCAGAATTTCCTTCCAAGATATCTTGGCAGCATACCGGAATCACCGAAATGCTAAGGGTGTTGTCAAATCCCCAGGAAATTCTAGCAGCATCGCATTCGCTGCTACTCTTAATGAGCATGAGCCCCAAGAAGGACAGAATTCCGCTCAAGGCTCCCACAATTCTCGAGAACCTCGCTCCAATTGCGTCTGCGGAAGTTCTCGTCATCATTGGAAGAATTGTTTCCATATCAACGCCTCTAAGAGGCCTCCTGGATGGAAACCGTATGAGGATGCTGCAAAGCGAGTAGAACAAAACATCAAGAAGCTCAATGCTGAAAAGCAGAAGGAGCTCCGGAAATTTATGAAGGATAATGGTCAAGAGAAAACCGCCCAATTGGCCCTTACCCAGGCGGATGATGTATCCACTGAGACCCTCATCTTTTTCACTGTGTCTCCATTCGTATTCAAAACCGCCTTGACTCACCCGTTGGCTGCCTGCTGGATAATTGATTCAGGCGCCAACACTCATATCAGCAACCAACGAGACCGATTCATTACATTTACCAAAGAGGAACGCGAAGTGGTCCTGGGATCAGGCAAAGCAATTGCCCAAGGACGAGGAACTGCAAAAATTTGCGTTAACCAACCAGGTGGAGGAACTATCTGGGTACACCTCAAGGATGTGTGGTATGTCCCAGGATTCCAAACCAACGTCATCTCCGTATCAGAAATCAAGAAGAATGGATTCTTCTTCAATAGCGAGGTTCCTGCCATCACTCGTCAGGGGACTTCGGTTGCTATGTGCACGGAGAGATTTGGCTTATATCTCCTAGATGAAGGACAACCTCCCTATGCATTTGCTACCGTTAAGACCTCTGCCAAACCGCTCGTCTCAGTGGCAACCCCACGAATATGGCATAGACGGGTTGGCCACCTATACGATAAACGCATCAAGATGCTTGCCAAAATGGTTGATGGCGTTGAAATTCGGCCAGATAATGACGATTCGGCCCTGTCAAATCCCGAAGTGTGCGAGACATGCCAAACCTCTAAGGCAAAACGACAAATCTCACGACGGCCGGCTGACAGAGGGTATATTCATGGCAAATTCGGACGCATTCACTTCGACTTGGTACATATCAAGGATGGTTATAACGGCCATCAGTGGTTTTCACACCTTTACATTGAAGGAATTCGGTTGCATATGGCCCAAACCCACGAGAAGAAGAACGGCTGTATTCAGGCTATTCAAGCCTTCATTGCAATTTGCCGTACACAACTAAAGATGGACATCAACGTGTTCAAGAGCGACAGAGAGCCTACCTTAGGCAATGAATTCATGGAGTACTGCAGACAAGAAGGTCTGACAGTAGAACTCAGCGTGGTTGGAACGCCGGAACAGAATGGATTTATCGAGAGGGCAGGAGGAATCATCATTACCACCGCGAGGGCCCTTATCGCTGATTCAAGCCTACCCAAGAATCTTTGGCCAGAGGCAGTGGCAGCGGCAGTGTATTTGATAAACCGCATGCCTACCAGGATGCCCGACGGCAGGTATATTATCCCATGGGTTGAAGCTATGCAACACAGGGACCCTTCGCAGGATCTGCGCCCAAACCTCTCGAATCTCCGATTGTATGGATGCAGAGCGTACGTGATGCGCCAGGGAATTGCCAAATCTGATAAGATGGAGCCGCGCGCTGAGATTGGATATTTGGTTGGATATGTTGCATCGAATATTTGGAAGATCTGGCTTCCTCAATTGAACCAAGTCAGGGAGTTCAGAGATGTTGTTTTTGACGAGAATATACAATATAATCCCTCTGAAACTGCCGTGCCGATCGCACCAGCAATTCATGATGTTGGATATTGGGATACCGAGGTAAACGACTCGAATCGAAGACACTCGAGAGATGAAGAATTTTTCGCGGATTCAGTGGAACAGAATACTCCCGCACCTGAACATTCCAAGAAGCAAGCTATTCACGATAATAGCACACGTGTCATGGAGAGAACACCACCTCCTATGATAACACCTTTGCCAACGCCTACTCCAGCTGCTTCACCCAATGAAATTCCTGGTGCATTTCCCACCGAATCTCGGCCTATTCGTCATGAACCTGAGGGGGCGGGGCATCATACAAGCGATCCTGCACAGCAGCTTCATACCGAATTGAGCAGCACCCCGCCATCGAATCCTCCACCAGGATATCGCCTACGAGGAGAAGTGGCACCTAGAAACATCGACTCATCTCTCTCAAGAAGCAATATCATCGAAGGAAAGAGAAAAAAGGGCTCATTTCGCAGCAATCGAGGAAACAGTTGAGCCAACTGAGTTAATTGAAGAGGATGAGATTCATGATGGTGTCCTTGTGGCCTTTACTGCGGGTCTGACTCAGCAGAAACCCCACCGAGAGGATCTTCCCCCTGAACCAAAAACCTGGTCTGAGATGTCGAGGCACCCACATCGTGATGGATTTATACACGCTGCCTCAGTGGAAGTCAAAGGCCTTGAATCGAAATCGACCTTTAGAGAAGTGCAGAAACCGAATGACAAGGGACTTCAAATCCTTCCGTTGACGTGGGTCTTTACCTACAAATTTGACAGTGACGGATACTTGGTCAAGTATAAGGCCAGAATCTGTGTCCGCGGAGATCTCCAGAAGTTGTCGACCGAGGAAAAGTATTCTGCTACACTAGCAGTGCGAACCGCGCGGGCTATCTTTGCCTTTGCCGCGAATTTTGACCTAGATATTCGTCAGTATGATGCTGTTAATGCATTTCTCAACAGCAAGCTTGAGGATGACGAGGAGGTCTATGTTGAGCTCCCACCTGGTATGTTTCCTAAAGGAAGAAGGTGTTGGAAGCTTCAGAGGGCCCTGTATGGCCTTCGCAAATCGCCAAGGATGTGGCAGAGAGAAGCATCAAGAGTTTTGACTGTACTCGGATTCAAGGTAGTGCAGGAAGATCTCTGCATGTTCGTCCGGAATAGCATTATTGTCGTATTTTATGTTGATGACATTCTTATTGTGAGCCCACGAGATGCACGAGAGGAGGCAGATGATGTTGCCAAAGGCCTCAGCGATGCCTGGGAGCTGCGTTCTATGGGTGAAGCACAGTGGTTTTTAGGCATTCGTATCCTTCGGGACCGCCAAAAAGGCATAGTCTGGCTATGCCAGGATGCTTATATCTCAGCAATGGCGCACCGATATCATTTGACCCAGGAACGACGCATTGATACTCCTCCAGTCTCCATTGCCACATTGAAACCGTATAACGGCACTGCCTCGGATGCCCAAAAACACGAATACATGAGCAAGGTTGGATCTACCCAATTCCCGGCAATTGTCACTCGCCCAGATGCGGCCAAGGCCACTGCCCATCTTGCTCAATTCCTTGCAAATCCTTCGCCAGAGCATATTCATGCTATCAATTCTGTCATCGTCTTTCTCTATCATACGAGGATGAGGGCCATTTGCTTCAAGAAGCAGTCAATCCCTCCTGAACCATCCGTTCAATTCTTCAGTGATGCATCATTCGGTGATAATCCAGATCGCAAATCATCTGCTGGATATATCTGTATGATATTTGGAGGACCTGTCGATTGGAAGGCCTCGAAACAGAAGACTGTTACCACAAGCACTACTGAAGCAGAATTATTGGCTTTGTCAGAAGCAGGCAAATCTCTTTTCACGTGGAAGCGCCTTTTCGACGCTAATAAGTTCAATCCTGGTCACCCTGTCGCTTTGCAATGTGATAATCAGCAAACTATAGGGCTTTTGACGAAGGAATTGCCTCAATTGCACACCAAGCTGCGACACATTGACATTCACCAGCATTGGCTACGTCAAGAGGTACAAGCTGGACGAATCCCTATCGAATGGGTAAAGACTTCTGAGATGGTCGCAGATGGTCTTACGAAGCTCCTTCCTCGCCAGAAGCACGTTGAATTTGTGAAGTTGCTTGGTATGGAAGAGATTGGTCATCTTGTTGAAGAGTTCAATTGAGCTCGTCCATTCATTTGTACAGCAAAATCCCCATACAGTAGGATCTTGCTGAGGGGGTGTGTCAGGAAAATGGTGATCAGCATCGTATTGACCCAAACGGTACCTCTGGGATTCTAGAGGATTCGATACCAGGTATTCTCGAGGCTATTTTAACCCCCTCGATCCCAGTAGATAGGAGACAGGAATCAACACTCTTTTGATCTCATCATTTTTGGGTAGTTCCCCTTTTTGATTCCGTTGCGCCAATCGCCTAGTACATCCATTGTATTTCCCTAGCTATACAGGATATTCCTGTTAGTTAGGCTGCTCCTCAATTAGCTCCGTTGAAAAGGTTTCCTCTATAGTCCTGCTGGAGCGCTTCCTCTTTCTCGGTACTTTTGGGGATTTCCAAATGGCCTGGTGAACTCCGTGCTTGTCGTGCAAGTGATATCGCAACTGGCGTTCACTGTCAAATGTTTGGATACATCCACACAGTGGTTTTGAAAGGGGCCAATCAATATTTGGAATATGTTGACTCTCGATATGTTCTCTCAAGTTACAACTTCGCGGCCAATAATCCATGCGTTTGTCGGCTGGAAGATCTGAGTCCGACAAGCAGAAGGGGCAGTATCCAGGACGAATGACGGTATGACGGTATTTGATTACTTCACAGTGGCGGGTTTGCCATGACTGGAGATGTTCGGCGCAATGATCTCGCCACTGATGGGACAAGTACCATTCCATGCACTCATAACAGAATCTCATTCGTGCTTCTGAGACTTGTGAATCAATGGCTTTCTCGCGCCGTATGCATTTATGAATGTGAGCGCTTCGTTCACCTTTTTTCAAGCTAATAAAGTCTGTTGGTACCTGTAAACTGATGAAAAGAAGACCACTTACCTTTCAATATTGACCTGACAATGTTTTGAAGGGCAGAGCCCCTCAATGGGCTCTTCATTTGGTAAATAGACGACATCAAAGTCGCGGGAACACTGAGTCTGTAGGTCTTGGACAAAGAGAAGTTTCTCTTCAAAGGAAAGCTCAGTAGTGAGGGCCATAGCCGTTGCAATTCGCCCTACCTCCGGCATGACCAGGCTCTGAGCTCGTGTGAAAATGCCATTTTCCAACAAGACCGGTTTGTCTTTGCCGCGACTAAGGATTTTCTGGTCTCCTCTCCATTGTACCCATTGACTTTGATACTGCTTGAGCTCAGATCGACGCTTTCGTACCATTGATTTACGTAAATTCAACTTCTCTGCCCGAAGTGAAACTTCATCGTTGCACCTTTCAAAGGCTTTAATCCGATTTTGTATTTCCACCATTTCCGGTTGCATCAAAATACTTTCTTTGATGTGCGCTGGCAGTTCAAGGGGCAAACCTGGTTCACAAAATTGCCCATAGCCCTGGAAGTACTCAATGTGTTGCGATTGAGGCTCCTCATTTAGTATGGCCGACACTGTATCTATAGAAGAGCAATGGGCCTGATAATGTTCGGGAAATGTTTTTGGATCACGATGTGCAAGAATCTGCGAAACTGGAGCAGAGCCATACCTCTCTGCCTAGGGCGTCAGTCCGTAGGTCTTACAGTCAAGTTGAAATCACTTACGTTCAACCTCCTTTGCCAGATTTCGACGCAAACAATGTATTGTGGGGTGCTTGGTATACCCAGCTGCGACGAAGATTCGGTGCAAGTCATTGGTGAATCTCCCTTGCGTCAGAGGGATGTCTTGAGGTCCGTCGGCTGTTAACGTTGCGGAAAATCGGCTTCGACAA